TATATTTTGTTACTTATTGCACCGCGCATTTTCCATTTTCTTTATGTTTTCTGATGAAAACTGGGCCTAGCGCGCCTTACTAATTGTACCCCCATTTTGAGCCCACCTGGATATTGTACTGAATATAGTTGCTATTCACACCAAGCATTTCTCATTTTAATTTCTTTTTCTCCATTTTTCATTAATCTTTGGAAAATCATAATAAATAGAAAAATAATGATTTTTGCATGGGGATTTTTTCTCCTATTTCATGTTGATGTCTAGAAAATTATAAAACCATAATATTTTCATTTCATGCATTTTTAATTTTTTTTGTGTATTTTCTCTTTTAATAGTTTTTTAATTCTTTTATGTTGATGCATAGATTTGTAGAATTTCGTTAAGCTAGTTCCCTTTGAATTTTTAGGCCATTATTTTTAGGATAGTTAGATTAGGACTTTAGCTCCCCTCTGGATTTATTCCATAATTTTGTGATTAATTTTTGATTAGTTTTGCTTAGATGACATTAGGTTGTATAGAATTAGGTTAATCCTTGACATAGGTCCACAATAACACTAGAATTTTGGGTTTCTAGGTCAAGATAGCTATTGGGACATATAGGGTATTAAGGGTAGTCATGTAGGACCCCCTAGAAATTATGTTAGGTTTTAATGTAATTGTATACTATTTTTAATTGATTTTTGTAGTTGATGGTTGTTTGTGTTGCCCTTTTGGGCTTGTATTTTTGTTTTGCCTTGCTTTGTGGGCTTGGTGGGCTTGGTCTTGCTTTGAGGAGCATGGAGGAGCATAGTAGAAGACTTGAGATTGAAGAAGGAGCTTGAGAGCTTGAGAGCCTTGTTTGTTTTGTTGTTGTCTTAGGGTTAGGGATTAAGAAGAGCTTAGAATTAGTTAACTTCTTTCTTAAACATGGATGGTATCTTTCACCTCCATTCTTCCCCATGATTCAAAGTCCTTCCATGGTATACACCTCCCTCCTTAGGAGGGATAAGTGATGGTACTTAGGGAGTAGAACTTTTGAGGAAACCATTCTCCTGATGTTAAACCCTTATAGGCCACCTTTGGTGGTCAATAAGCAGTTTAATACCCCAGCTTATCCAGTTAAGTGATTTTCTCTGGTTTGAGTATCTTGAGAGGTGTTGGGCTTGAGTGTGAAGATGAAGACTTCATTGAAGAGTGTGGAAGAGGATGATTCCTTGAGCATTGTCATTCCAGCTGAAGCTTGAAGAGAAACCAGAGCAAGTTGATACTTGAAGACCCAATGAAGATCCAGTAAAGACTGAATGGAGAGCTGAGGCTTAAAGATTGAAGGATAAAGTTGATACTTCTAAGTGATTGAAGATTACTCTAAGAAGTTGAAGCTTGCAGGAAGAGAAGACCAAGTTGAGACTGGTAAAGCAAAAAGAGCTTGAGATCTTGAAGACTAAGTTGATACTTAGGAAGAGGATTCAATTGAGATTGACTGAAGAGCTGAAGCTTGAAGAACAAAGGAAGTTGATACTTACTTTGAAGTTTGGAGATCCTGAAGGAGATCAAGTTGATACTTGTGGTTAAGAGTGAAGCCTGAAGGTGGAACTGATTAAGGAGCTGAAGCTTGAAGAAGTGAGAATAAGTTGAAACTTATGTTGAAGGGTTGAAACCTGGAAAAGCAAATTGATATTTGTTAAGAGTGATTGAAGTCTGAAGACTGAGTTGCTGTTAGAAGAGCTGAAGTTTAGAGTTGAGAGAGTTGTTGATCAGCTTTCTTGTCTGTTTCTTCTCTGTATTGCTGATGTGCCTTGTTTGATTTGCTTGATGCATTAGAATAAGTTCATATCTAGACTAGCTTTAATCTAGGAGCATGATTGCACTAGAGGTTGAGTTGCTCCCTCTGCTTGTATTGTTACTGTATGGCTTTGCTTGAGGGTATTCGGTAGAGCCCAACTCCCTTGCCCGTGTGGTTTGTTTTGCCTGATAGCATGACTTTATTTCTTCTGTATGATTGCAGTTTACTGTATTTTGCTTGATAGCATGTTTTATCTTTCAGTATGATTACTGTTATTCATTCTGGCTTGAGGTTGAGATGAGCTTGTGGAGGCTGATGCCCCACACACATTTCCTCCCTCACTTGCATTGCATGCATTTTACAGTCGTTTACTGTTTACTGTTTAAGCTGATGCTTTATCTGTTTCTGTGTATCATTGACATGATCCCTTAGGACTCTCATTTCCTTTGATAAGGAATTGATGATAGAACTTTAGGTTGAAACCTATGCATGATAACTTCTAGGAGTTCCCTGTTTCAAACTTCAACCATAGGATGAATCCTTGGCATGACAACAGTAGGACTTGATAGTCTCCCTTTAGTTGAGCCTGTTCTCTTCTCATCTCAAAACAGCTTAAGATACAGTAATCATGAATGATTTCTTTCGTACTTACGAGCCTTAAGCTATCTGAGAAAGGATTGTGGGGGAGTTTCTTTTCCACAGTCTGGATGTTTAGTATGGCACCCTTTAGGTGACATGTGACGCATTCACTCTCAGGTCATAGTCTTTAGTGCGATTGAAATTGCAAACACTATAAAAAACACTTCTTCCGTAAAAGACAGAAAATAACCCGTAGTGTCCCGAACTACGTAAGCTCTGATCTCTCATACCTGTTGAGAGTACGTAGGCACAATACTGACGTATTGGCGAGCCACCTTCCCCGTAACCCGTCATAGGTCGAACTACGTTGACTCTGATTTCTCATTCTCTGATGAGAATACGTAGGCATAAAGCGCGACGCTTTGCCGAGTCATTTTTCTTTTTTGTTTAAGCCAGCCTTGATAGGTAGATAGATAAACCACCTCGTCCAGTAAACACAACAAGCGTGGATCCCGTCGAGTACGACGGACGTGAGGGGTGCTAATACCTTCCCCTTGCGTAACCGACTCCCGAACCCAGACAATGGTTGCGACGACCTTGTCTTACCCTTTTTTTTCGTCAGGTTTTTCTGATCGTTTCCTTTCCCGCTCCGAGGGATAAATAACGAAAGGTGGCGACTCTTCTGTTTTGCCGACACCTTATTTTCGCGGAAGCGACAACCACGATACTCATCTTTATCTTTGATAACTTCTTTGAATATCCTGCAAAACATGATTCCACACATAGATGAAAAAAGAGCTTTCAAAGAGTCACAAATGGTGACAAGAAGAACATGGTAATCTCAAAAATCTTTATATAATACCTAAGTAAGGTGAACCATACGATCCTCGATATTGAGAAGTGTGAACAATATCACCAATGATCGAGATTTTATTACACACTGTTCAAGAGTACTCAAAAGTCCAAATACTAGAAAGAACCATTACATTCCCGTGAAACGTTGTCAATCACGAGAAAGGAGTTTAATGCTCGTTTTCCCAGAAACATCAACGTCCGATTAAGACCCTTCTGCCCCTTCTTGCCAAGACCAAGACTGAATGTGAACCCGATAAAATCTTTGCTTTACGACGTAGGAATAAGGGTTTGAGGCAAATTGTTTTGGTTCGTTCGCGAATGGAAAGACACTTTGAACAAGTGGACTCTCACCTCTCCCGATGACACACAATCACACTCGTTATCAAATCTTTCACCGTCGACATCCAATCGAGCGGCCATCTGCACAAGGTACCGAATCACACATGAACAGTATTAACTCTTCGATACTATATAAATGTCAGATCGCACCATTTTAGATATTAAACTCATCTCCATTGTCATACTACTTTTACTCAATAACTAACTTAAACGTCGAAATGCTATCCTACAAACAACATATTTCACCACTTTCATTTCTGTTCATAACCGAAAAAAGTCATTATCACATTAATTATTTTTATATATTTGAAATGAGAATAATTACTAAAAATTAAGCCCAACCTAATGGTAAAATCATTTCATGATTACCATCCCAAAACATGATATCAAGTGACAATATCAACATTATTTAATTAACCCTCACGAAAAGAATGTGACATATATCAAGTTCTACCCTTTTAACAAAAAAATCATACTAGAACAAAGAAAACAAGACTAAAATAAAATTCCTCAAAAGCCATATCTAAAACATACAACCAAACAAACAAACATGAACCACTCCACCAAAGGAAAATGACACATCTTCATTTTGTCAAAAACAATCACTCAGACTCTCAAGGCCAGAGCCTTGTTATCTATTGACAATACCCTTTACGCCCAAATTTAGTCCACAAAATCAAGCACAGGCATTATCTCTACCAAAAATTCAATAATCCATTTGAACCTTTTTTTCAGTGGCTCTGATTCTGCCATTTTATTCATCAAAAGCCACTGCCACATAAATAAACTTTTTTATCGCTACAGACAAATATAAGACTCATAGTTTTGTTGTCACATATGTATAACATTGTGTGAACTATACTTATTTTTTTTCTCAGAGTGCTTCTTCTATCAATCTAAGGTTCTCGTAAGAAGCTTGAAACCGTTTCTGCAGGTAACGTTTCTCAAATACCATTGATTCACACATGATGAAACGACCCAATATTTATATAAAAATGTAATCTTTTACCTTTTGTTTCAATTGGGTTTGTGTTATTTCGAGGATCTTTATTTCCTATATTTTGTTTTTAAATTAAGTTTTGGTTTGGTGTGATGGGTTTTCTTCAGAATTTGGATTGGATTGGATTGCAAACTGTGTGACTTTTTAAGATTTTATTGGATTGCGAAATGTGTTTTTTAAATTAAGCTTTCTATAATCTATCCTCTCCGGCCAAATTTTGGCCATTGGATTGATCTATTGGCTGAGATTTCACCGGAGAGGCAAGAGGGTCCGAGAGGATCCAGTTGTGTATGACTATGCCTCCTATGTTTCTAAATTGCGGTCGACAACTGCAATATAACGGTTTTAGAAGTCTCTGCAGTGGCATCCATAAGTTGTTGATTCAAAACATTTAACTTGTAGAATAAGTTAGTTTTGTGTTGTTTTTTGTTTCAGTGATATCTGCAAGAAGTCTTCTGCTTGACAATGCCACCAAAACCGTTAGACCATGAGTCGATAAATGAAAATGTGAAGAAGGCTCAGTATGCTGTCAGAGGTGAATTATACCTTCGAGCTACCGAGCTTCAAAAGGAGGGCAAAAAGGTATAGTAGAATTTATTTTCTATGTTTTGCCCAGAATTTTTTACTTGCTTGAGTTGCAATTGAAAGCTTGTTTTCAAATATTGGCAGATTATATTCACCAATGTCGGAAATCCACATGCGTTGGGACAGAAACCACTGACCTTCCCTCGCCAGGTTCAACATAACTACCGTATTTCTACTTTTACTAAATGCCCCTTGTAATTTTCTTAATAAGATTTGCTAAACATACTCCTCAAGTCCTTATCTAGTTAAGTTGTTGGAGTGTTGAAGTAATCTATTCGTTGATTATTCTAATGCGGTTCGTAACAGCTAACTTTAGCAGTTTTTGCTTTTTTGATTTCAGGTTGTTGCTTTGTGCCAGGCTCCGTTCTTGCTTGATGATCCTAACGTCGGACTGCTATTCCCGGCTGACGCAATTGCAAGAGCCAAACAGTATCTCTCATTCACATCGGGTGGTTTAGGTACTAATATCGTATAGCCAAAAACAGTATCTGTCATTCACATCTGTTTTATCAGTTATATACTGTCGTGTTAAGAACCAATTACATCATTGGTATCAGTTGCGTAGAGGGTGAGCTCACCGGTTAAGGTTATGTTATTTTCAGTTCAAATTTTAGATTTTTTTTGAAATGGTAAATTTTATAATATGGGGATCTGTAGTAACGTGAAACATCTAATTCTATATTGTAGGTGCTTATAGTGATTCTCGAGGCATTCCAGGAGTGAAGAAGGAAGTGGCAGAGTTCATACAGAGGCGTGATGGTTATCCTAGGTATATATGCTCTCCATACTCACTATTTTTCCTACTTATTTTGAAGTGAAAATGTAGAAACGTAGAAAACACGCCCTTTGTTTTTATTTTGTTAGGCAAAGTGATTAATTAGGTCTTGCTGTATTTGTAGTGATCCAGATTTGATATTCCTTACTGATGGTGCGAGCAAGGCTGTGATGCAGATGTTAAATACGATCATCAGAGGCCAAGGAGATGGGGTAATATAGTCTTTTTTCTTATGGTACTTAGTTTTATAATCACACTTCCCTTTTCAAGTGATTTTTCATCACCTTTTATTTCTAGATTATGGTTCCAGTCCCACAATACCCGCTCTACTCTGCAACAATTGCTCTTCTTGGTGGCACTCTTGTTCCATACTACCTCGAAGAGACAGCAAATTGGGGTCTTGATACTACTGAACTTCGAAAATCAGTTTCAGAGGCTCGCTATAAAGGATTAAACGTATGTGTTTTTTCTTTACAAATGTTAAGTTTCACCTACAAATGGTTTTGAAGGAAGTAACTTAATTTCTTATAAATTGAAATTTGATCAGGTTAAAGCAATGGTGATCATAAATCCTGGAAACCCTACCGGTCAATGCCTCAGTCAAGAGAATTTACGAGAGGTTTTGCAATTTTGTTATGAAGAAAACTTAGTCTTGCTTGGAGACGAGGTTTACCAGACGAATATATATCAGGATGAACGGCCCTTCATTAGTGCGAAAAAAGTATATTTTACCGTGCTTCTTTTTATAGGCATATATTTTGGTGTTTTGCTTCAATAATACTGTATTTTTCTTAACACAAATAGGTTTTGATGGATATGGGGCCACCTTTAAGCAAGGAAGTCCAGCTTGTTTCATTTCACTCGGTGTCAAAAGGGTATTTTGGTGAATGCGGACAGCGAGGTGGATATTTTGAAATGACCAACATTCCTCCTGAGGTTTGTCTCCTCATAAGCCGCGTTTCTGATTTTTTCTTTCGCCGAGTATCAAGCTGATATTTCTTGTAACGTTTGGAAGTATAGATTTTTCACGAACTAACTATCCAAATAGCTTAAGTTGTGGTGTACAAGCACGTGAATGTTTATATATCTAACTCTTTTTCTCATGCAAAAGCCCCCCGACTTGAAGCATGATGACCAACACACAAGATTTATTGTGACCGATTCCCGTTGAGTTTTTAATAGCATTGAGAAACTCAATCATGGCATGAAGTGGATAGAAAAACGGTTGAACATAAAAGAAGGAATTCTAGATATATACATCAATATGAAGAGGCCTTTGAGGCTGCTGATGTTTTTCTTTGATCCTCGTGTTGTTTTGCAGACAGTTGATGAGATCTATAAAGTTGCATCAATATCACTTAGTCCAAATGTTCCTGCACAAATATTTGTGAGTTAGTACTGAATGTTTTTCTGCTAGATATTTTGACTTATTTGTTCAAAATATAATTTTAGCAAGTCTTGTTCTTTTTTCCGTCTCCTTTTCCTCGTCGTTTTCCCCCGTTTTTACTTTTGTTCTACAGATGGGACTAATGATCAATCCACCCAAACCTGGAGATATTTCTTATGACCAATTTGCTAGGGAGAGGTAATCATCCTAAAACCTGTGTTCAAACATTAGAAATTTATGAAGTACAGACCCAGTGCCACAGACGCCAAACACAATACTAACATTGACACGTGTTTAACTTGTAATATTTAAGAAAATAAAAGTGACGAAATGTAATCACACGTGCTAGTATCATGTCGGTGTTCGACATTGACACATGTCATACACGTTTTTCATCTGAAGTGTCGTTGTTGTTGCATAGTTAGAAATCATCATTTCTCTCATACCTTTCCAAATATGCAGCAAAGGAATACTTGAATCACTAAGAAGAAGAGCAAGGATAATGACTGATGGATTCAACAGTTGCAGGAATGTTGTTTGTAATTTCACAGAAGGTATAAATATATGCCCATGTTCTAAATGAATTCATTGTATTCCTCTAATGGTACAACAATATTTTTGGATTGTTGTGTGCCGTGTTGATCTATTGAGTTTTGTTCAGGTGCCATGTACTCATTCCCTCAAATTCGATTGCCACCAAAAGCTTTGGAGATTGCTCAACAGGCTGGAAAAGCTGCAGATGTTTACTACTGTCTCAAGCTTTTGGAAGCCACCGGCATATCCACTGTTCCTGGTTCAGGATTTGGACAGAAAGAAGGGTAAAAAACACACATCCCTTTATTTTCTTCCTTTTTCAACATAATATTTGTATGCTAAATTAGATTTTTTTTCCTTATGAAAACAACGTATGACATATTCATAACAGTTTTCTTTTTCAAGTTTCTTATGCTTCTTTGTCGTAAACTTTGTATAGGGTGTTCCATTTGAGGACAACTATATTACCAGCTGAGGAAGAAATGCCTGCAATTATGGATAGTTTCAAAAAGTTCAATGATGATTTCATGGACCAATATGATGACCATAGAGGTTATTCAAGGTTGTAATGGCTTCATCGTCTTAAAAGTTTTATTCCCTTGAAAAAAACATACGCTCCTTTCTGAAACCTTAGATTTTCTTCTATATTTCAATGAGAATCTTCCATGTATATTTAATCCCTGTTGCACCTTTTATTATTATATATGTATGTTGTGCCACCATGGCAAACAATCATCTTGAATATAATAATTGTCTCTGTTGTCATTTGTCAAAAAATAAAGTAAAATAATCTCTCTCTTGTGCTAACTTATTGTGGTGCTTCCCGACTTGAAGAATTAGTCTTTTGCAGTTACGAGCAGAGATTATTCAATTTCTTCTGAAAAAAAGAACATAAAGTTCCTAGTGAGACATTTAGACTGAGAGAGTTATTATGTCCTGCCGTATCGTCCATGATAGTCAGCTGCTGTCACGGGGGCACCCACGTTTCTTCATTCATCCACTGCTCTGCTTCTTTTGTCTCTCACTTACCACTGCACTCTTATTTAATACTCTCCTCTTCACCACCCTTATGTCACAACACAAACTTAATCGTCCTCAGTTTAAAGCTCTATAAATTTAAACCTGCCAGTCAAACTTCAAAAGACTTTTTAGTGTTTTTGTTCTTGCTAAGTTGAATGAAATGAACCTTAATAGCAAATGTACTTTGAATAAGGCCATGTTGTATATATGTAGGAGGTAGGCAAGTTTTGTCTACAATGTGTTACGATAAGAAATCTGAGTTATTATTGGTTGATTAAAGTGTGTTGTGTTTTTCAGATAGTAACTGTAATTTCTTCCTACGAATCATAGACACCTTTAAGAATAGGTGTGTTGCAGTGTTCGACATGGTTGGTATCCGACACTTATATGACATCTGAGCGACACATTAGATGATTTAATGCATTATTTGACTAAAAAATTCTGCCACACATTAGATAATTTTCTGAATAATTTTTTTATGGTTTATGTGACGATTTAAATAGTCACACATGTTTTTTATTTAAAAGTGCTTAATATGATGGCTAAAACGGTCACAAATTTTGCATGACTTATTTTAATTTTTTTATGTTGTTATAATGTGTATGTTTTTTTTTCTTCCGGAAGTTGGTGTAATGTGTATGATTTGAGTCTTTAAGCAATTTAAAATTTTGATTGTTATAACATTATTTGGTCCAAAATGCTCCCACAAATGTATTCTTTAAATACAACTTTTCTCCTTTCTATTTTTCACCCTCAACTTCTTTTTAACATTTTTCTCTAAAATCTTATTCTTATTAAAATATAAAATTTAGTTTATTTCATTAAAAAGGGTTTTTGTGACAGTTTTAACACAGTAAATAACACACACAAAACTTTGAGAGACAATTTAAACCATCAGATAAAACAAGTGCTAATTTTTAAACATAAGATGTGAAGGCCTAAACGGTCACACATGTAAGGGATTTATTTTTCGCGTATGTGTGGGAGTTTCATTTATGAGAGTTGCTCACAAATATTTTTGACTAAAAATGGATCGTCCGCCCCGGCCTGCCTTAAACATGTCAAGTGAAATTGCGCTTAAAAATTTTATCTACCACGTGAAAGTGATGGGTTGACAAACATTGGACTTATCAACCTTTTTATTTATTTTTTATAATAACTTTTTATAAAGCATCTTTTTAACAAATTTTATTTTAAAAAATTATTACATATATTTACAAACATAAATACGAGTTTTTTTGTTTAATTAATGTTATCGAGCACTAATACATTTTTAAAGCATTAAGCATATGCACACCATATACCTATGGTAACACTTCTTTGTCTTTTGAAGATGTTGTACGGACTCAACAAAAGAGGTATTGTTTCAGAAATTTGAGCATCTTCAGGAACATGAGAGTACTCAATAAGGTTTTCTATTTTATGAGAATTAGTCTTTTTATAGAGTTTAGGAAGTGATAAAGAAGAAGTAGTAGTAATAGGTTGAGTGCTTGGTTCAGGTGTTTCCATGTTTGAGTGATTTCTCCCTTACTCACTCTCTTTATTATATTCATACCATATGCACCCCTTCTTTCTGTACAGGCTCTGATACCACACTGTCCGGGAGCCTTACATGCCATGAAACTCAACCTTAATTGTATCGTCCTCAGATAGCCAACCATAGGCATAACACAGACTAATAATTAAAATTGAAATTTCATAACAGCAAGGACTGTAGTATGGATCAATGGTCAGATGTTTTCTGATACACAAAATCCTCATTTAGAGGCAGGTGTAGAGCATACTTGCATCTATGGGGGTATTATGATATGAATACAATAACTAAAGCTTTGAGGGAGAAAGAAGAGAGTTTTAGAACATGTTTGTTCTTAAGCACACAAGAGAGTTTATTTGTGAATGCTTGATGAAAATATGTTACAAGAGCCCTCCTTTTATAGCCAAGGAGGGGCATATAGGACAAAAGCAATGCTATTTACAAGCATGACATTTTTAATATTATATGAATGCCTTTTTAAAATTCTGACACACTTATCACTTATGGATTACATTATTGTAGTCTTATTGCACAAAAAGACAAAATTTACTATTCATAAGCATGCTTGTGATCTTTGAAGGACGCTTGTCCATTTAGTCTTTGCAAATGGGTTCATGAGAGAGGGACATATTTTGATCAGATAAATTTTCATCAGAAAAGCAATCTTCATAGCGAGATGACTCACACTGCCAGCTATCATCCATCATGTATGTGTGATCTGCTAATCTCATATTAGCTTCTTCCACTTGTCCTTCAGAGAATTCAGCTTCCATTAGAGAATCTGGTTTCTGTTGTGTGGCTTGAGTCGAGCTTTCTCCAACTTCCGGTCTTATGAACTTTTCATGATGTATGCAAGTTGAACTTTCATCAAGTTTCTTTGGATCATAGAGATTGACGTAGCTAACATATTCAAGTAATTCCCTTGTGACTTTTAGACTAGAAGGATATTCATCAATGGTTTCTCATAGGTGAACATAACTCTTATAATTGAGCAGCTTAGTTACAGGATCTGTCAGATAGGGCTTGTGTAGAAAGAAAACAGACTTGAGTTTTCCAATATCTTCTGAAGATAATCTTCGTTCTTTGACCTCGTCTATGACTGATTTTAATTGATCTCTCCACCATTGTAATGGAGAATACCATTCAAGAGTGGTCCAAATCAAAGACTTGTGCTTCTCGGGATCCATTATATGTTGATACATGGCCTCAGTGGGAATAAGAACAGGCATATAGTACAAACAAGTGGCACACCAAATATACCACAAATGGTTTTTTGTGAATTTAGCATTTGGGTTTATTTGAATTGGCAGGAGAAAACGTGTATCTGGGAAATAAGGACTATGATCTGGCAATTTATTCCTTATGATTTTTGTCATGTAATAGAAAAGATTGTTCCTGGCATACTGCTTGAGTTGGGACGATGAAGAGGATGTCGTTATTCCTGGAGGAAGATTCTTTATTTTGGATGCATGAGTTGGTAGTGGTTTGACCATAAGAATTAGAGGGAAAATGTGCTTGGCTGTGATGATCTGGATGAGTTTCATGGGTCTGGATAGTAGGTCTGGGATTACATTTTGGGTTCCCTTGATATGTTTTACCGCGAAACCATATCTGGAAAACCAATCTTTGAGCCTAAGAGTTTGAGGGTCAGGAGGCATATTATTTTTGAATTCAAGGATCTTAGGGAAAGAGGAGTTGTCCATATGGACTTCAAATTGGTAGCCTCTTAGGTGGAAGTCAAACTTTTGGATCCCCATCTTTACAACGAGGGCTTCTTTGTAGGTGGTATGGTAGTGTTTTTTAGCTTCTTTAAATTGGCCACTGGCATGACCACAATAGTATCTTTTTCCTTCAAGTTCTTCTATCAGGACTTCTCCCCAATAATAATCACTGGCATCGGTTTGTAGAATTCTTTTTCCATTCCCAGGGATTTTTAGAGCAGGAGGAGTTTGTGCGATTTTCTTTAAGGCTTTCACTGCTTCGGTTTGTTGTGTTCCCCATGGTGGAGGTTTTTTCTTTAGCATTTGGGATAGAAGACTCGTGTATCTTGCCAGTTTCGGCAGGAAATCTCAGATATAATTAATTATACCAAGAAATTGTTGGATTTGCTTAACTGCGAGATTCTCATCATGAAAGTTTAATAGTTCTTGGGCAATATGAGGATGAGGTTGATATTTCCCATGAGAAAATGCATCCCTAGGAAATCAATTTTTGTTTGTCCCAATTGACTTTTCTTTTCAGAGAGCATGATTCCATGCTGTTGGGCTATTTGAAGAAATTGGCCCAATAATTGTTTATGGTTTTTTTCATCTTTTGAGAACAATAACAAATCATCAATATAGATGAGGATACCATTGAGGATGGGCTCAAAAATTCTAGTCATGGCTTTTTGAAAGAGTGATGAGGCTACCTTAAGCCCAAATGGTAACACGGTCCATTGGTACTGGGCGTTAGGAATGCAGAACGTCGTTTTATAGCGATCTTCAGGGTCGATACCTAATTGTCAAACTGACTTAAGGTCGAACTTAAAACAAATCTGGGCATCTTTGATGAAAGTATTTAAGGACGAGGCTTTTGGAATGGGAAATTTATCATTTTTGAGAAAATTATTTAGAGGTTTGTAATCAATTACTAGCCTATTTTTTCCCCTCAACTTTTCAGATCTCTTTTCCACATAGAGTGCTTGGCAAGCCCATTCTGATTTGGTGGGTTCTATCAGACCTTGTTTGAGCAGTTGGTTGCATTCTTCCCTAGCTAATGTGTAATCTGATGGACTCATTCCTGGATGAGTGGCCTTGGTTGGATTAACATTTTCATTGAGCTTGAAGGGAAGTTGAACAAAAAAGTCTTTATTCTTCCATAGAGGTTTTGGGTGGTGGGAGAACGAAGATTATGTTCAGAAGATATTGGAAAACTCAAGTCTGTTCCTGAAGATGCTCAAATTTCTGAAACAATACCTCCTCTGTTGAGTCCGTACAACATCTTCAAAAGACAAAGAAGTGTTACCAGATCCAT